GATTAGGTAGATGTAAAGTGGTTTAGTCAGATAGAAGTAAAGTGTCGCACGTCTTGTTACGGTTGTTAGCTGGCTCGTTGTTAAGATATCGAGACATAAGGGGAGAGGAAGGCGATGATAGGCGTTGACTCACGGAAATCAGCCGAAATGTGCAAAACGTGGACAGCTCTGCTTTAGGAAATTCATTACTAATATTTTAAGAAACCTATAACTCAAAATTTGAAAGCAACACACTATTTTTGCTATAATATTCGTTAATAATTAAAAATATATATTTGTACCTTATCTAATAAATCATCACTATATTATATAATTTGTTTAAGGTACATAAAATTATGCATTGAATAGTTGAATTAATAAATTAATTAAAATTAAGTTCTTATTATAGTATTCTTTTTACATTGATATTTTTTCAGTTCTATGAATATATATATATATATATATATATATATATACATATAAAATATTATATATATATATATATATACATATATTTATATAAAAAATATATATATATAAAATAAATTATATTATATATTATATTATATATTATATTATATAAATAAATTATATTATAAAATAAATTATATTATAATTAATATGTTTCATCTTTTAAATATCACTAATTGTTTAAGACTCGTGAGATTTGTAAACTTTTTATAATCATTGATTTAGAATAAATACATTTCACAATTTTCTTATACTATCTACATGTATATTTTTGTTACATATTCTTTTATATTTATTTTTATTTCTTTTATATTTAAAATATAACACGTATATATGTGTGCGTGTGCGAGTACACGCATGCACGATGAAATAGTGTTTTGTTTTAAATTATACGATTGAAAATTAAATCATATCAAATTATAATATAAGAAATAATATTTATTGATAATTGATTATTTTCTAATAATTAATATAAATACAATCTGTTTTAGATGAGGGAATTGAACAAAATTAGCGAAAAAATCGACAATATAAAAAAACATATTTTCATTATTCAGAGCAAGGTACAAATACGCTTCTTCGAAATCGAAAATCAAATGAATTACTTTCAGAGTTTTATAGTAACCGATTAATAAATGTAACAATTTTTTTTTACAACTCGCAGATACATATCTATCTATCTTACAAATAGTTTTTTAGTTTGAAGATTTATACTTATTGATTTATTATTTATATTTAACTGCATTAAGAATATTCGATTCATTTGTATGCTTTTACGTGTATATTAAAATATAATTTATGGCTTGCAGTTTACCGATGTTTAAATTTCTTTATAAACATGGAGTAATGCAAAGAGAATTGATAAAGTTTATAATTATTATATATGAATAAATTAAATTAGATTATATTGTATATTAATAATTATAAATATATTTAATAAGAAAGTATGTAGCTGCTAAATTTTGCATTACTATATTATTATGCACTAGACAATGTATTATCTATTTTAAATTGTATTTTTATTTATTTTTTTTCTATATTCATAATATTTGTAATATTTTTCTTAATATTTTTTAATTTTATTATTTCAAATCAAATTTTTGATATCTATATAGAGATTAGTAATGCATATTAATATTTAAATCACGTTTAAATTAAAAATTTAAAACATTTTGCTATTCTTTAATATTTACATATACATACAAGAATATATATATATATATATATAAAATATTATATATATATATATACATATATTTATATAAAAAATATATATATATAAAATAGATTATATTTAATGTTTCATCTTTTAAATAGCACTAATTGTTTAAGACTCATGAGATTTGTAAACTTTTTAGAATCATTGATTTAGAATAAATACATTTCACAATTTTCTTATACTATCTACATGTATATTTTTGTTACATATTCTTTTATATTTATTTTTATTTCTTTTATATTTAAAATATAACACGTACATATGTGTGCGTGTGTATGTGTGTGTGTGTGAGTGCGCGCATGCACGATGAAATAGTGTTTTGTTTTAAATTATACGATTGAAAATTTCAGAGTTTTGTAGTAACCGATTAATAAATGTAACAATTTTTTTTTACAACTTGCAGATACATATCTATCTATCTTACAAATAGTTTTTTAGTTTGAAGATTTATACTTATTGATTTATTATTTATATTGAACTGCATTAAGAATATTCGATTCATTTGTGTGCTTTTACGTGTATATTAAAATATAATTTATGACTTGCAGTTTACCGATGTTTAAATTTCTTTATAAACATGGAGTAATGCAAAGAGAATTGATTAAGTTTATAATTATTATATATGAATAAATTAAATTATTTTATATTGTATATTAATAATTATAAATATATTATATATTAATAAGAAAGTATGTACCTGCTAAATTTTGCATTACTATATTATTATGCACTAGACAATGTATTATTTACTTTAAATTGTATTTTTATTTATTTTTTTTCTATATTCATAATATTTGTAATATTTTTCTTAATATTTTTTAATTTTATTTCAAATCAAATTTTTAATATCTATATAGAGATTAGTAATGCATATTAATATTTAAATCACGTTTAAATTAAAAATTTAAAACATTTTGCTATTCTTTAATATTTACATATACAAGAATATATATTACATATACAAGAATATATATATATATATATATATATATATATACACATATATTTATATAAAATATATATATATATAAAATAGATTATATTATATTTAATATGTTTCATTTTTTAAATATTACTAATTGTTTAAGACTCGTGAGATTTGTAAACTTTTTATAATCATTGATTTAGAATAAATACATTTCACAATTTTCTTATACTATCTACATGTATATTTTTGTTACATATTTTTTTATATTTATTTTTATTTCTTTTATATTTAAAATATAACACATATACACTTGCGTGCGTGCGTGATTTATTTACACACATACGCACGCATGCAAATTAATTTGCGCCTACTATATAAGCAATTAATCATTTTTTCGAATAAAAAATAAATTATATAATCATAAATCATTTTTTCTGTAATTTGACAATATACAAATTAAAAATTTAATTTATTTGATCATATAAAAATCGCTGTTTTCTATTGGACTGATATATATATTAATATATATAGTGAGTTATTATTAATATATATAGTGAGTTGTTGGTAGTTCATATGGATGTACACTGTGCGATATTTAATTACCGGTTAATAATGTATTTTTAATATTTTATTCTTTCTCTTAATCTTAATAAAATTCAGTATGTTGTCAGAGATCAGAAAGCTCAGTGGTTTTGATATCAGATTAATGTGTCGCCCGTTTTTCCTATGATGCACATAATAATTATGTATAAAATAAGGATACATAATAACAATATAATAATAAACATTATTCCTTGATGTGATGAGTCGTGATTAAACTCAGCTTTCCTTCAGTTTGTTCTGCTCAGTATCTAATTCTCGGTTCATATATCGCAAAATAAATGATATTTGTTTTATCAAAACTGATAATTGCTTTATCTTAAATATGTTATTAATCGTAAACAGAATAAAATACCTTAAATATTCATTTACTATGACTAATAACTACAGAAAACTATATAAATCTGATGAAATTATTGTTATAATTTAAAAATTAATCGCAAATCTTTTCAAACAGTACACAAAATTATGTGCTAGTAAAATAAATTCCACAGATTAACAGTGTACATTTAAGATTTGTCGATATTTATTTAGTTGTTTAATTAAAAAATATGTTGATAGTCAGAGTGAAGTTTCATATCTTGAGAACACAATTGAATAACGTTATTTTAGTTAAAGTGCAAATAAGATTGTGTTCATGTGAGAAAATATAAAACAATTGCAAAATCATATGAATCAAGAAAGTTTATTAAAAATTTAAAATATAGTAGACTCTATAGTAGACTCTTGCCATTATGGGAGGAATGAACATACTGTCAGGGTTTAAAATCATTGAACTATTCTCTTAGCAATAAAAATTCTTCTTGGTGGCGAGTATATTATCTGGGAAAAGAAAAATTTAAAACTAAATTTTTGAAATTTCTGGCTTGCCCTGGGAATTCACAATTTATCAAAGACTATTTAAATATAATAAAAAATGATAGTACAACATCGATTATGTTTTTAAAAGATTTTTCCAATCAAGATTATATTAATTATTTTCTTTTTACTATCGCGAAGCATGCGAGGAATCCTGAAATACTCAATTTCACATTACATAATCTTGAACATATAAAACCTAAGTAACACAATTTTCTCTCCGTAAATATATATCTATCATTCAACAATTTATGTACGTTTTAATAAATGTATTGTTTTACTGTTCTAGACAAATCAGCGAGTATGTAGCATTTATAGTTATTATTAATCATGTGTATTCCACAAATGAACTCCAAAGGATGCTCCAAAAATTGCATGTTCTTATGTATATATATATATATATATATATATATATATATATATATATGTAAAATAAATAACCATGATGCGACATCAATTGCTGTTTAATATCATCAAAATAATCTGTTTTAGATAAATGACTTCTTAACAGATAAATTTTTTAAGGCAACGCAAGTTGAATTAAATGAATGTAAGAAATTATGGTTTTTTGTGAAAGAAAGAAATACGAAAGTAAAGGTAAATTTTATGAATATCATTATACTAATATTTCATTTATTAATTATTGATTTTTTTGTTTTCATACAGAATATATTAATGTCACATATATTAGTATCCCAAAATAACAAGCAGAAATTAATGTCATTTAATTTTTTTTATAAAATAAGTATATTTTTACTTCTAATTTCCGAAAATATATTATTTTGGAAATATATAATTTTTCATGAATAAGAAAATGGAAAAGACTGAACGAGCAAGCGATAGCAAAAGACAAAGTGTAACAATTATAACGTTGATACAAATCTATCTATCTTACAAATAGATTTTTAAACATTTATATTTATTCATTTATTATTTATGCTTAGTTACATTAAAAATATTCGATGCATTTGTGTGCTTTTACGTGTGATTGTTAATAAGAACGCACATTAATTCTTACGTAACACGTTCTGAATCGCGTCTTTCGCCTTTTGAACACCTAGACGAAATTGATCGAATTCTGGACGAATCCTCATTCCGCGATAATAATACATCAAACTCATTTCGAAATCACCTAGATGGTACAGAGCCTCTGCCTTGCAGTACACAGCTTTCGCATTACTATCTTTCGGATTCAATCGTAAAGCTGCCTCAGCGTCGTCCAGCGCCTTTTGTGGATCACCCAGTAAAAGATGACATTTGCTTCGCGCTATTAAAGCGTCCTTGTCATTGGGATTCATATCCAATGCCTATCAAAATAAATCCTTGAATTATTATAATATCTTTATGAGAATTATTATTATAATATTGACAAAATTATTATTTCGAAAAAGAGATAGAAAGATAAAGAGAGAGAGAAAAACAAGGAGAGAATATTAAATATAAAAAAATAATTATTATTTATAAAAATGATTATTATTACTTATTACTGATTATTATTACTTATTATAATTATTAATATTTATTCAAATAATTATCAATATTTATTAAATTTTATTCATTATTTGTTAAGTCAATTTCATTGCTGCATAAATTATTATAATCGATTTAACAATATCCGATTATATGGCTGCACAAACGTCACGCGATTAAATGAACGTAAATGATACGTGAATGAAAAACAAATATCTCAATCTCGCTTTGACTACGCGCTGTAATTAATTCTGACAAAGTCAGATAACGGAGTGAACTAATTAATCAACCTTATTAATGCAGCTGATAGCGACATTGAAATCACCGAAGCGCATTTCGCGCAGACCAAGCGTTAGCAACGCTCCGGGCTCCGTCTCCTCCGGGATTCGCAGATCTCTGCTGCGATCTTGACGTTGCTTTATCTTCAGAGATTGTTTTATGTCCGTGCTACCCATGTTCACGGCAGCGGCCCGATCTTTATCGGTGTATACCTCTTCCTGTCGACGACCGTCGCCGTCACATTGGCGTCATGTTTTCCTCGACTTCTGAAGCCTCATCTCCGATTCGACGCTGGCGATATCAGACCTCTCCCTTTCGATCTTGTCATTATTCTTCTTTTTTCTTCCGTCGTAGCGAAAATTGTCCTTACGATTGTCACTGCCGTTTGTCTTGCTCGAATGCGTCTCCTTGTTCGAGTCCTCGAATTCTTCGACGTCCTGTTTCGAATCGGAGCCAATTTCCATGCGTGTTCGCACGTAACTTTGTAACAAATCGTGATGATGCAACCTGGGATTCAAAATGTCCATGACGTGATGTTCAACTGTGCTCGCTGCAACATTCTCGGCCACATCTCGCGATAGATCGTCGTTCATTTTCAACGCTTGTCGATTTTTTTTGGTCGATTAGAATATTGTATTGCAGTGGGTCTAACTTAAAAATATACTGATTGTTTCTCCATTCATATGTTTCTTTTCACGTAACTTCGGAAGACAAGAGATACACCTCGCGTTTAGGAACAATAGCTATTTGTCTACGTGCTAAGATACGTGTGCTTGTCGACACCTCGAAATAGGTCGCTCGTTTCCTTAGAAACGGGTAACAACAGCCAACAGTCACAAATATCTATGGATTTGTTCTTTGTAGCTGAAGATTTATTATTTTTTTTTCTCTCTTTCTATCTATAATTTTTAATATATATAAAAAGTTTAGCTACAAAGACTAAATCTTATTTGGCGATTACAAAATATGAAAAAATATGTATATAAGATATTCTTTAACATTCCATATTCTTAAGAGATGAAAATAGATTACATAATCATATAATATTTTTTTAAAAGGCGCGCATCTTTTCTATATTATAAATACTTTTGTCCGCGACAAAATTCTGTGCAAGAATTCTATGCTAAAAAACTTATACAAGTTTTTAAGTTTTTTATTTTAAGATAAATATTTTTGTATCTGTTTTTTTTCTACTTTTAGGTTGAAAGGATTTATTATGACAGTGACAGATGACATTGCACATTTTTTATCGTACATATAAACCTAAATAGAAATTGATAATTTACATAATTTTATTTTAATATGATAATAGAGATTTATCATGCATTATTATCGTAAAATAATAATTAGCTGCATATACCATGATCTAGCTTATCATATCATGAAATATATAAAACTATTACGTTACTGTTTTAATCGCTGTTAAATTATTGATATACAACATTAAATTACTGCTATACAATTTAGATCTCTTTAATAAAATTGATAAAATTAATTTTTCTAATTATTTATTATAATAACGAAATTAATTTTATTAAAGAGATTGAAATTGTATAGAGATACATATTAATTTTTAAAGAATTTGTTACTTACTGCAATATTTTTTCGAGCTTGACATTATATTATAGAGAAATTTATTAAATATATAAAAATATTAAATTTTTTTAATTATAATGTATCATTATAAATGTAAAACTACACAAATAAACTACTAAAATACACTACTAAAATAAATAATAAAAGTGTATAACATGTAATATTTATGTATACTTAATATTTATATTTTATTTTAAGTTATACTTAATATTTTTGTATTATGATTTTGTATTTCCTTCTCTCTTTCTTTTTCTTCTATATAAATGAATCAAAATATTAAAGATATGTTAAGTTACATTTGAAATCATCGTTATTTTCCTAATATTGCTCAATTGTTACAATATCTTTAATCTCACAATTTTTAAAAACCTTCTAAATACATGCACATATATTGAGAACACACATATCTTATATCCAAACCTTATACCACATCTTACATATACCCGCATACCTATCATACTATTATATTATTCAAATAAAAGATAAACATAAATTTTTATATAATAATTTGTTTTAATAATTAGTTTTTATCTTCTTTTTATTTTTTATGACAAGTTTACTTTCGTTCCAATATTTTACTAGAGTTCATGGAGAAGCAGAATATTAATAGATAGTTTATTAATACATACATATTTGCAAAACTTACTTGATTGTACAGAAATATGGCTTTATTGTAATTTCCATTTTTTACATGAACAGTTGCTTCGTTTACTAATAATGTGTTTCGTATAATAAAGGTCCGCTTTATCCGTGTTGTTGATTGTTTTTTCGAATGATGTACCATATTGCCTTGATACTTCTACGATGTCCGTTCGAGCGATAAGTTTCGAAAATCACTCAATTGACAAATATGATAATCAAGAATCTAAAAATTCTATTATGATAAGTGATAATATAATGATAACATAAGAGAATTAATTAATCTATGTATAAGTGTAATAATAAAAATATAATAAAAATTAACAACTGGAAATTGCAATCGATGATGCCAATGAAAAGATTGACAGCAAAAGAGTTCAGAAAAAAATTTTTAATTTTAAATTTTAATCCTAAGAGTTAAAAAGTTAAAAATGCAGTTTTGATCATTTACATTTTTACTAAAAAAAGAGAGAGAGAGAGAGAGAGAAATTAGCGCAAAATATACTTACGATTTTGCAATATCACTTATATAATAATAGTTGAAAATTACGAAAAATATGTGCAATATAATGTGATTGATAATTGTTATAAATTATTTTTTATTTAAGTAGAAACATGACGACTAAAATTGAAGATTATAAAATACACGTATCTCATTCCAATCGCGTTGCTGCCTCGCGTCTTCAAATTCCCGCAACTTGCAAGGAAAACTTTTGCGTCCGTACTTTTTGCACTGTCTCCCTACCTATAATGCATTAAGAAATAATCGATAAAGAAACGCAAGAGAAGGATGAATAAAAAGAGAATAACTAGACCATTTTTATTCTTTACCACTACTATTATGTCTCCGATCGCTAACGGAAAAGCTATTATAATGGTTTGCATGCTTCCTGTCAATCCATTATTATTATCCTTGCTCGATTATTTGTGTCATTTAGTCCGGAGAGGAACGCACGCGATCTGCATATATTGACTGATTCCTCGTACTGCCTCCCCGTAATATTCTGTAAAAACAACGAAGATAATTACTCAGAACAAAACAATTCGTGAATCACGAATAATCATCGGAAACTAAAAGCATGAAATGTTCCGTGACCTAAGAATAATATGGTATGTCATGCCTCGACCGCATTATTTGTACACTCGATGAAGCTTTTTCAATAGACCTATAACAATTTTTATCTCTCAATAAGGGATGTCAATGCATGTTTTCTGAAAGCAAATAAGCCTAATTGCATGTCATTCCGAAGTATTCCACGATCCTTTGTATGTATTCTGAGAATATTTTAAGAAAAAAATCAATATTATACAATACCTTCTTTGATATGTCTTCCTTAAGTACAAATATTAACTTTAATAACAAATTTGTATGAAAAAAATTTTTGCTACTATAAATTAAATAAATAATGTCTTTTATATTTGAAAGAATCCAAACAAATGTGTGGATTAAAAAATTCGATCTTCCATAAAATTCCATCTTTCATAAATTCAATCTTCGTATTCAATCTTTGTATTAAACAATATTGAATTCTTTTAATGTACGGTAATCATGCTCATATCAAAGTTTGCAATGTTATATAACGTTTAGGATTTAGAAAAAAAAATTTCTATATATGAATCAAGTGTCCAGATCCTGGTATGAAAGAACGTAATCTACTTACCCCATGACACACTTTATAAGGGCGTGTGTATGGATCGGATCGAACGGATTACATTGGTTCGGAGGTTATCAGTCCAGAATGTACAACGAAATTTACGTTAAGAATTAATTCTCTGACTGGTTATTATAATATATATTCGAGAGCTTTCCAAAACACTATAATTAAATTAATTTTCATTAAGTACTTTCCGAGTTATGAAACTTGAAATTATTTCTTAATTTTACATAACCATAAAATATCTTGTAAAATATTTTCATTATTTTCCGAAAAAATCCCTGGGGAAATTAAAAAGAAACCTGTATAATTAATAATTCTTTTTTCATTAAAGAATCACTATATTATTATCATTATATTATGTTATCATATTATATTAATTATTATAATTCATGATAAAATGAAAAGCTTGCTTGTGGGATTTCCACAGTAGAATTCAATATAAATTAAAATGCTCTCTCTTTATGATGTAATGTTTTCTTAATATAAGTACGATAAATATAACATTGTAAAAAAATAAATCGCTCATTCTTTTATTTTTATGGTTAATTTTTATAGTCACGTAATTATCCAATAGACATATCTTAAAAGTATTTCTATTTGTATTACATGATGCAGATATGTTTTTATTAAATGCTAGTATGTGTATGTGAAAATAAATAAATATATTAGTTTTTCCCTATTTGTTTTCATTTATAGAATTAAATTTATCATTTTTTTAATAAGAGAGAATATATAATAAATCAACAAATAAAAATAAGAAACACTAAGCATTAGGAACACGATTAAAAATTATTTGCAAGTTAATAAATCAATACATTAAATCTAAGTAATTAACATTTATAAATTGAGAGAGATTTGTTTTATTAATATTAAAATTTGTAAAATATTGTATAATATAGTTTTATATATCTTATTTTTATTGGAACAAAATTATATACGTTTATATGCAAAATTTAGTGTCTAAAACTATGTGCAATTGTATACATTGCCTTAGTATATAGTCTAATTTAATCTGTTATAATCATATTTCTGTTAAAAAATTCAGTTAAAATTATGCTTTATGGCCAAGGAGATGTAATACAATTCAATGAATACATTTTTTAATATATTCTTTCGATAATTATAACATTTGAAATATTTGAAAAATTCGGATGAAGTTTACTTTAAAATGATATAGTTATTATAAATTTTGTGACAAAAATTTCTGGCAAAGTACAAGCTAATTAAAATATATTGGATGGAAAATTATAATATTTTAAACCAATATAATACATACGATGAATCCTCTTATTAAATGCATGAAATTCCTTCGAATAATGATTTATAAATAAATTTATTAGTAGACATAGATATTCATTAGTAGATATCATCTCCGATTACATCTTTAAAATATTTCCTACAATCTGTAACAATATTTTTTAAATATAAAGATTATTAATATTTAGCTGAACACAAAAATTAACAATATATTTGAAAAGATTATTAATATTGAGCTAAATACAGAAATTTATACAGAAAGAAAGGACATTCTTGTTTTGAAAATATCTTTAGTTTTAACACGGAAATCTTGAAATAAAATTATACCGCATTAATTAAAGAAAACTTGTTTGAATGAAGTCATTTTATATAATTGAATTAGGACAAATATATTCTTATTCTTTTTAAGATTTAATTTTCTTGAATGGAAAGCAGACAATGCTAGATAGAAAATAACACTTTTACATCAAAATTTATAATTTACTTAAAGTAGAATTAAATAATTATATATTCTTGAGATGACAATTACAATTGAAATAAGACTATAATATTATTGAAATGTAAGATTAATAAATTTTTCTAAGAAGAATTATAAATTGTTGTGTATATACGAAATAATGAACGCGTTAATTTAAGTATACAAGTTTTGATTTCACTCATTTTTTTTCTGTATTTTATAATTGCATATAACTTGCTAAAACTTGCGAAAAGATAATACCATCAAATACTTTGATTTTTATACATATTATAGTGGATAGAATTCTAAATATTCAGTCCGCTTTAAAACATATTGTTCTTCTAGCTTTTTTTTTTGGAATGGAACACTTCATCTTTTTTGCCTTTAATATGACTACACTATTGTCAGAAGATTTTCTTTATTTCTGCCAGTTCTTAAATAGCTATTGATATATGACTAATTTTTGAGTGCAATGAGAAACTTATATTTTATAATTTTATTATATTGTAAAGTACGTGCATAAGAGAGAGAAAAGAAAGGTCTTTTTCCTTCTCCTTTACTCTATAAAGATTCTAATATAACATAAACTAATTTTTATTTTTTTAATAAAAATTGTTTAATGTT